AAGGTTGAAACACAATCGTGATTTAGACGAGTATGACATAAGACAAAGCTGTAGTCTTTTGTCTTCAGAAATGACTTCTTCAGGCACACGGTGCTGAGCAGGACCAAGGTAGAGCTCTGTTGTGATGTTTGTCCTCTACCTAGCCGCAGCTGCCGCCGCCGCAGTAGGGTGAACCACACTGGGTCCGCATATGTAGAGGAGCCTGTGGAAATCACGGGCCAAACCCTCTGACCTGCACACTTTATTTTTACCAGGATTCACCTGCCTGAAATGAAGATGAATGAGCTCCTAGTGTATCTATCCATGCACTTGCTGAATAGATCTTTTTGACTGCGTCGATCTACGATGTTTTGGCTTCCTGCGTTCTAGGATTCATTTTGCAGACGATCATGTCATCTATCCATTGATTGGTCTTTCTATTTGTCAAAAAAGCGGACTCTTCTGCATTACAATAGTACCCTAATTGTGAAGGCTAAGGTCGCTGAGGCTTGTGAGGAATGAGGGGAAAAACCAAGAGCTCCTTCGCCTAGTCGCAGTGCAGGCTGATGTAGAGGAGATAGGCGGCCAAGACCCGGAAACACCATGAAGGAGAAAGTCGAGCTCGCAAACCCATCCGCGGAAGAAGGCTTGAGCAGGTGACTTGCTGCACCTAGATCGGGCTCTTTTGCTTCAAGGATATCGCACCAACGGGTGGAAGGACCAGGATTAAGCCCTAATGATGTCCGACAACTAAAAAGGAGGGAGGTAGAAAGGATACCCGCCATTCTTCGTCTTGAAGATGTTGAGGAGGAAGCTGTACATACAGAGCAGTACGCCTGCCCAGATTACGACGGCCAGTTGCTGTGCCTTCTTGTCTCCCATGCGAGGGACCTTCATGGAAAGAGCAATCGCTGCAAAGGAAAGTACAGCGTCTGCAATCACAGTGAATCATCAGTATGTATGTGGACATGGTCGTGTCTCCGGAACGTGAACGACTTACAAATGGCAGCGACAATCTGCGTTTCCATGCCGAACTGGTTAGAGAATCCACCAGCAAAATAGCTAATGCCTCCCTTGCCATCACCTACGACGTAAGGTACTTTGCGGATATGATTAAACATGTGGCCACTGGTGAACAGCAAGATAGCAATCAGGCTAAAGCCTGCCCACAGGTTTCGGTTTCTTATGATCGGCAAGGCGTACGGAGACAAAACCGTGAACAAAGTTATCACACCCATAAGGATAGTGATTGCAGAGACAATTCGCAAGTAATTGATTGGGCGGATGAGAGGTGGTTTTGAGCCTTCCGGAAGATGTCGGCTGATCCATGTGTAGAGTTGGTCGGCAGATATTGGGCTAAACGTCTTTCATCAACACGGAGAAATCGTGTGGCAGATCCAAGAGTCTCTTACCCAGTGAAGTCGAATCTTTTGGGTGCATTGTCAACCTTGGCAAAGGGGCCGACTGTGGGAGGAAACAAGAGGAGGACGGGCGCAGTTTGAAGCATCAGCTTTTTCCTCATTAGATTAGATGAACAATACATCAAGAGGGTTCAGGAAGAATGATCATTCTTATACCTTCTGGAAGGTCTCCTTGCCATTACTGAAATCCAGAGTAGCGAGGAGCAGCTTAAGATCGTCTGACTTGGAGCCCTTATTCCAACTTCGTGCAATGAGGTCCCACTCGGATTGGAACTCGCGACATAGGACGCAACCATAGCGAGCGTCAGTAGCTGTTAGAAGAACCGCGACGTGGAAGTCGCGAGGCTTTGAGGTCAAATCATGATATGTAACATCCGTCAATTCAATCGGCGCGACACGAGATACTGATTTGTATTTCTCGTACTTATCAGGGTCTGCGGATGTACAAAGCGCGCTCGTCGCAATGCAGAGGAAAGAGATAAGGAAATTGAGTTTCATTTTCTCCAGGATCTTGAAGAATGGCTCATTTAAGATGCTTTGTTGAGCTTGAATGTGAAGAAACACTGGAAAACACAGTGAATGAACGATCCGCAAGGACCAGTGGTCATTATCTGATGTCTGGGTAGGAGGTATTCCAGACGGAGTAGATGCATGGCAGCACTCGATAACTACGCAATAATCGCTTTAGTGCAACCGAGAGAGTCCAGGTGTCCATAACTTCGGGAGCTGCCGAGCTAATTTTTCCGTTGCAAGTTGAAAGACGCGTGTCGGCCGCTGCCCCAAACAACCTTACGTTGGCTACCCCCGTACCTTGATTTCGTTACAGACTGCTTTTTCATACATGACCACTGACCCTAGGCAAACTAGACTTCATGCCACAATAATACAATCTTGACAACTCGATTTTCGCTATACTTAGTTGTTGTTGATCTCCCTTGCAAGCCAACACCGAATTCTCTCGTCCAGATGTCAACACCGGGTTTTAATGATGTATGTATGCTTTACGACCGCGAGATGCAAGTTGAAACTTACCCCGTTCCTCAGTGCCGAATGGCACTTACCACAGCACACTATGAGCAAGAATATGAACGTGCTGTGGGCCGGGCAACCCTTGTTCTAGAAATCGAGCGAGCTCGGGAAATACGTATGCAGCAATTACTTCTCCAGTTCAAAAATGACAGCCTGCACTTGCAGCTAGAGGAGACCAGCGGAGAATTAATCAGGGCCAGAGAATCTGAATCGTGCCTACGCGTTCAATTCAATAAGACCCTCAATGAAGCGAATCGCTTAAAGAATACGCTCGCTGCCTCGTCACATGAAATAGAGAATCTTCGTGTACGTTGCCCGTTATACCTTGACTTGTTGGGACATCACTCTAACTTTTGCGATAGGGCGAACTTGCTTCTCTGGGGAAGACTGCAGTTGAATCTAAGAGATTGGTAGACGAGAATATTCGCCTATCGAAAGAACTTTCCAACTTGCAATTAGAAGCGGAGCAGTTTAGGGTACAAAGCACATCTTTTCAGAATACCGTCGCCGAAAAGCAGGTATTGAGACGCCAGCTGATTACGGTCGAAGAGCAATTGGAGAACGAAAAGCGCGCTCACGAACGTGCTCAGTCCCGAGAGACTCGACAGGCAGCGGAAATTGCCAATTTGTCTTCGAGACTTGAGGAAGCACGTAAGGAACTTGCAGAGCAAATACAAGCTCGGGAACGACAGGAGCGCTGTGCTCGTCAGCAAAAACATGAAAGCGAAGCTCAGCGCGCTGCTCTCAAAGAAATGATCGAAGATCTCAATCGAAAACTGCGGCAAGTCAAAGATCAACTTCAAGAAGCTCAGAGTAATGGTCAACAGCGGCGTAATAATCTCAAAACAACCGAAAGTCCTCAGCCCCATGCAAAATCTCGTGCTCCTCCTAATCGAACAATGGGCACCCAATTTGTTCCCGCACTGACCATTGCAACACCAGGGGCGATCAAGTCCTGGAATAAAGGCATCAAGCAACCAACGGCATTGCCTGGCGATAAATCGTCTTTCTCGATTACCCCATTTTTGAAACGCGCGAGTGAACCTCAGAATCCTTCAGTCAGTTCTGATGACGATCTGAATGAGCTACACGCGGTCACTGTGTGCGCGGGGACACCTGGGAAAGTTTCCAGTGACAAAATGGATTTCGCCGAGAATGCAACTATAAGCAGTCCACAGCAAGAAGACGAGCTGTCGTTCAGGGCGGCATCGTCTAAAAAGCGGTCGCAACTATCCCACCATATTGGTACCAAGCCCAAAATGGCCAGAGCAATATCGTCCAGGTCACGCTCCCCACAGACTGATGTCGAAAACCATGCAGAAGGTGACGATGTTCCAAAGAACAGGGCCTCGAGTCATGGTCAGATGAAATTGAAGAGGCGTAAATTGGGTTTCCAGCGAGATAGAAACTTGTTTGAGGAAGAAGAAGACCCGGACAACCAGGACATCAGAAAACCGGCGCGTAAACTTGCTCCTGGTCCTGGACGAACTTCCCGAGACGAGATACAGTTAACAGCCCGATCCAGTATAGTGCACGGCCGAGGTTTTGGTGCCCCTACGGGATTCTCCCCGTTAAAGCGAGACAGAAAGAGAATGTAGACGGTGGAAAACCTTGAAGGAATATAATGTTTATCCGTAGCGTAGTCCTTGATTTTAGTAGCGCTGTACTTCATCCTTTACCTGCATTCCTCTTTCATGATTGTGGATTCTTTCACGTGGAGAGATTTCGGTACCCTGTTCAGTACCTGCATAAGACGCTGCCCAGACTTCGTTTCAAGTGCAGTGACCTGAGAAGTTGACCGATGGCTCTCATTAATATATCATGAACTGCTTGATCTATAGAATGTCACCTATTCATTGAAAGTAAGAAGAACGCCACCTATGTATCAAACCACAATGTAAATCCCAGATTGATATGAGGAACAATAATTGGACTAGTCGCTGTGTTACGGAGGGTGTATGGGGTTGACTACATGTATGTTTTAGGACATGAAAGGCAAGAAACTTCGTTGAGCTATATCTAGGGGAGTATAGTCCTTACATATTGTAAGAAGCGTCCCAATCTATCTACAATGCGTACCTTAGCTCCAATGTTGCAGCTGTTTGGAGTCAATATTAACACTTGATTTGGAGAGGGAACAGCATGTTTTAATGAAAGGAGATAGGGGTGGGGTGATACCTACTATACTCTTAAGTTTAGCTATTAAAGCCTCCTGATATATCATTATTGCTATCATTGTCGTTGATAGATACTCAATAGCTCTCCATCCTTTTCCAAGATTTCACATGACACTTACTTCAGTATCTTGGTGTCCTACATTGTTTGAATACACCTTCTAAAGGGCTGCCTACTAGAGGTATACTATCTACGGAGTTTATCTACTTGTATTTGTTCTTTTCCATCTCGTCACCGCCATCATCGGGCAGTGTTAGATTTTCAGTATCTACATTGTATCACACCTGATCATCAAGGACGGCCCAATCCAATAATACATTGACGAGATCCCACCAAAATTTCCCGCTGACACCAAACGAACTGGGTATCTACCTCACATAGAAAGATCCCAGCACCATGTTCTTTTCGTCCTGCCCAACCAAGACTATAAAACTCGAGATCAGTGATATAACGTCTCTCCTCATATTCAAGAGACATTCATCCTCGAAGAGATGGCAAGCACGTCAGATCAAAGACCACTTTACAAGGGCTGCGGCAGTACAAGGCTTGAAGAGCCGTGCAGCATTCAAATTATTGCAGGTATGGATTACTTGAGCCTTACTGGTCATTGTATACTAAACACAGGTAATTTTAGATCGATGAGAAATATCACATTTTCAAGAGTGGGCAAACAGTAGTGGATCTGGTATACGCCCTGTCGCTTTCAAGTCTGGGCATCCAGGCTGACCATCTGTTATTCTCATCAGGGATACGCCCCCGGCTCCTGGTCTCAGGTTTGTTCGATCTCGCGGCAGTTTTAATAGACATCTAACTGTCTCAGGTGGCAGTGACTCGAACTCAACCGAACGGTCGAGTCCTGGGCGTAGACATAATCCCAGCACAGCCCCCCAAAGGCGTCTCCACCATACAGGGCAACTTCCTTGCCCCAGATATTCAGGCCTACGTTCGGGAGTTCCTCCGCGATCCTTGTAGAGGCAGACCGCGTTCCCCTGGTCCGTGGGACGGTGACGGACACAATAATACGACCTTGAGTACGACCGCGAGCATGGAGCATAATAGCGAGTGCATCGGACAAAGTGATGCCGTGTCGGAGAGAACGGTAGATGTGGTTTTAAGCGATATGTGTGCTCCCTGGTTCCAAACCACCGGCTTCTGGAAGCGAAGTCTAAGTGACCCTTATAATAGGATGATGAACACAAGCGGCGTGAATTTCCGAGATCACGCCGGCAGCATGGTACTTCAATCAAATGTCATACTTATCGTACATACTTGACTAACCTGATAGGACCTCTGCCGTGCCGCATTGCAATTCAGCTTTGACACCTTACGAACTGGAGGTCATTTCATTTGCAAATTTTATCAAGGGGTCGAGGACAAAGAACTAGAGAGACAGTTCAAAGCACTCTTCCATAGAGTGCACAGGATCAAGCCAGAGTCTTCACGAAATGTACGTGCCGGACATATCGTGTATTTTTATCGTCATCACGCACTGATTTGCCCAGGAATCAAGGGAAGCGTACTTTGTTGGCCTCGACAGAAGGAATAACGCGTTGAAAAATGAGGTCCTCATTCATTCCTAAATCAGAACCCACCAGCCAGATGTAGCACTCATCTCATTCTGCTGCCCTGCCGTGCGCAGTTGGTACCAGATCACCGAATTCTTAGATGATTTCCTCCTCGTTCTCAAGCGACTCGTCCCACTCGATGTCATCTATCGTTTCTTCTGCTCTTGCTTGGACCTTCTGTTGTGTCAGCCATCCATATCAACGGAAATTGCCTTGTTCATGGCCAGTGCCAGAGATTTCCGGTCGGGGTTGGGTGATTTGCGCGGACGGGGGAAGCGAAAGACAAGGATTAGAGGGTAGGATAAAAGAGGATTGTTCTGACTGACCTCCCTAAGGCCACTCAACTCCTCCACATATCCGGGCTCGTTCAAAGCTTTTACAACAAATTCCCAGCCCTGCTCATTGTATGCGTTAATGACATTTATTGAGCAGGCGCTACAACAGTCATAGCTTCTTCCTATAACCGAAATGTTTTCGAAGGACGAAAGAAATCCCCTGATTTGGTGTGGCACCAGACCAAGAGGGTGAGAACCGCGGTCATCGTTTGGCAAAGCAGCTGGGGCCGCAGGACCTTGAGGGTGCTGCAGAAGTGAAATGAGCAGCTCAACCGCCAAGGCTGACGCTATTGTGGCTACACCTGGTCGAGTGACGGTGCACTGTTGATCAAGTGTCTGATCTCTTACAGACTTAGAAAAAAGTCAGTCGCATAGAGGCAAGGCACTTGGGAATGATGGCTTACGTTCATCGGCGCAACTACGTCATTGCAAAAGTAGCAGCCAAGCTCTGATGTTGGGTCTGCATCATTTCTGACGCCGTGTCGCATGACCACAAAAGAATCGAAACCAAGCGCTGCATTCATCACAATCTTCCCCGCCGCCTTACCAATGACTGTTGGGAGCCAGCGCGATTCTCTCGTGTCCATAAGAAGGAAAATAACGTCGTGGTCATCTACTAGAGCCTTGAGAATACCGAACTCTTTTAGTGTCTTCTCCATGTCTGTGATAGGATGGCCAGCCATTGGCACCGAAAGAACATGTCCGGTAGCCTCAACACCAGGGTAGATTTCCGACAGAGCTTGCGCAGCTCGAATTGCCTTTCTAGCGCCACCTTCTAGGCAGTCTTTAAAGTTGAAAAGTGGCTGCCTCACCGGATTTGAAAAAGATACGTTTCCGTTATCCACGAATGTTATCTTCGTAACTCCCCAAGCCTAGAGGCCAGCAGCTCGGTGAATGTCTATTCAATAGAAATATGGAATGACGTACCATTAAATTTCGAGCAACATAGCTTCCTAACGTCCCAGCTCCAAGTAAGAGGCATCTGGTGCGTTTGATCTTCTCAAGATCGAGATCCGGGCTGATCCTCCATTTCATGAGTTTCAGATTGAGATCAACGGACTGATCCGCCAGCCTAGCCATTGCGCCGCGGAGTTAGACGCACACAAATACTTTGAGTGGTACATCCCGTAACCTGCTCACCTCTTAGGATTCAGATACTCTGTGAGGTCCACTAATCTCCCTGACAGCTTTCCCGCAGAATTCCGTTCCCAGCCAGTTACTTTGGGCGCACCGATCACTGTTTCAGGAGAACTCCCCGGATGTGACACCGGCTGAGCTTTGCATTCCATTGTGACTACCATGCTGCGACCATTCTCGCGACGTGTATCCCGATACCTCAAAATCTGGGCTCTTCGTAGGCCCCAACGTCGCTTGATGAGAAATAGTAGGTTCCTCAGCATCCAACCCGGCGCATCGTCGTAGTTTGAAGGATCGGCAAAACAAATAAAGCTATCCTCGAATTGCGCCCCATCGAAAAACCCGCTCTCATAACTTGCTAGAGAAGCAATCCTCCAGTTGTGCCCGGCGCTCTGCTGTGAACTTGCCACCAATGTCCCACCTGCTGTTTCAGGCATCCCCTTGGCATCATGCCCAGGTCTGCCATCAAGCTCGAAATACTTCCTTGCGAGGAAGAAGCCTCGCTGACAAGCTTCGACGCTGCGGGACCAGGTCTGCACTGCTTCCACAAGAGTCGAACTTTCAAGAGTGGATAAGGCCTTGAATGGTGCCCTATCAATCGGTTCAACCGGAGTATCACCGACGATCTCCCCAGAATATGGTACAGGAGTCCAGGAAGGGGTTGAATGAAGTGCAGGAAACGCGAACCAGTAGTGGAACTTATACTTCTTGAGATCTGCGAAAGACAGTATCATGAAGGAAGATAATTTTGACGGACACAAGTAGATGCTGCCGTCCTCTATGGCACCCCGTATCTTTCCGAAATATCATTAGTAAACTTCATTGACCTTTTGCACCGTGAGGCTGACCGTTTGCCCGGCTTGTTGCAACATCTGAGGCTTATCGCTGTCGCGGTATTCTTCAAAAGTATTAAAGTTTTTGATCGTCCCTTCAGCTCTGTAATACCCTTCCGGTACACTGGTGTAATCCATGGTCAATCAGCAATTAAACCCTCTGGACCCTACTTATCGCCAAGATAATTGTGAAAGGAAGTAGGAGTTGAGCTCAGACGATGGACTCACTCGTCGCTGGTGAGGGCACTTCCATGTATCTGCATCCGACAAGAATTATTCGGTGCGTCCGTAGAGCGCAGTTCGTACAGGCCTAATACATTGCGAGCAGAGTCATCGAGTTTGTCACGGTCTATCTTCAATGTAGCTAGAGCTGTGTAGAATGGGAGCTCGATGTCCGAGGCAAATGGAGCGTACTGCATTTTGTTCGGTTATAATATCGTGTGGATGTTCTAGGATTCTGAGCCCTATCTCAATATTTTTAATGAGTGAGCCGCAGGTATATCTGGATCTGTCTCTGCTGGGTAGTAAGGGCTCTGATTATGATGACGAGCGTTAAACTGTTCAAGTGCAACTGTATCAGACTGTGGAGTAATGATAAGGTAGGAAGTACGGAGTTAGAGGGGTACTAGTACTAGAAAAGTAGTAGTAATAGATGACGGCGAGGCTGATAAGGCGGGCAAGGCCAACGTCCCGGATTTATCATAATACGAGAGGTAAATCCCACCCTATTACATACAGATCTTAACTGCTCCGGAGAGCAACGTGACGACTCCTCTTCCCTGTTATTCATCATTTCTGAACAGCTGACCAGGTCAGAAATGATAATGGTCATGGGCAACCCTTAGCCACAATCCATCACTTCGTCCATTATGGGTAGTCACCCTGCCTTCTTGTTTGGGAACTCGCCAGCTTAGGGTATTCATCGTTGTTTTGTTGACCCACGCAGCGAAGTAAGTTATACTATCTAGTCGGTGTATCTAGGTACTCTCAGGCTCTTCCTTCCTCAGCATATTTGGCATCTAGGTATCAATACTACAGTATTCTGCGGTCTATGTTGTATTTCTGATTTCTGTTACTATTAGCTTCGCTCTAACCGGACTCTTAGATGTTAATATATATAAATTATAGCGAGAGACTACACGATTGGGATTGGTTTATAATAATACATTCATAACACTAACGTACCTTAAGTTCTCCCTACCCCACTAAGTAAATCCTACGCGGCTAGGCTGTTGCTTATAATTCGGATCTTCTCGATTATTATTATCTGTAAGGTTTACGTACCTCTGGTCACCTCAGACGCAATTGTGTTTGAAAAATCAACTGGATAGCCCACTGGTGTCAACCTCGGCTTGTAATGGGTTAATAGAAGAAACCAATTCATTATCGTACTGATTGAAGGATCTGCCACTTTACACACATCTCACCAGGCATCCTTTGCATCTTCCTGTCAGGGCCAAGAAATGCTGATTGGCTTGTGTGGAGGTTAGTATGAACCCTTATTGACGAAAATATTCCACAGCATGATGGACTAATGACACAGGAGCGGACAGGAATATGCTCAGGCAAGCACGCCATCGCAGATTACCTCATTGAACATCAAGAGTTCCAACTCCTTGAGCTGAACAACAAACACTACCCTCGCATAACCGATGACCCAGAAGACGATCTTCGGTTACAAGCTTCGGAACTCAGCAACAAGAAGAATTCGGAATATACGTTCGACAGCGTCGAATCCATCCTAGACTTTGCCACGAAAAGATGGAGGGAGCGCTGGGTCACAACAGATATCTGGGATACTGCGACCATAGAGCGTTTTCTTCAACGACCATTTTTCCTCCTAGTGAGCGTTGATGCGCCAGTTAGTCTTCGGTGGAAGCGGTTCACAGATAGGTAATTCCCTTGCCAAGACCCTATGCCCTCAACACCATATGCTGTATGGAATATAATGTTTTTACTCCATTTTTAGGTGCCGAAGGAGACAGCTTGATCCTCCTCCGCTTGAAAGATTTGTTATTTGGAATGATTGGCACCTCTACGATAAAGAAATTGGACGTGCCTATCTGACGGATCGTGCGCAAGTGCGATTGTTCAACTCATGCTCTTCTTTGGAGGAACTGCATGCTGCTCTTGAAGCCCTGAATCTCGCCGATGAGCAACGTCTACGTCCAAATTGGGACCAGTATTTCATGCAACTAGCTTCACTCGCTGCGCAGAGAAGCAATTGCATGAAGAGAAGAGTGGGCTGTGTGCTCGTTAGGGAGCGCCGTGTAATTAGCACCGGATACAACGGGACTCCTCGGCATCTTACCAACTGCAATGAAGGTGGATGTATGAAATCTCCCGAAGGCTTGCAGCTTTACTTTGGTTTTCTCGTGCTTTTCTAAGAGAGGCTCACATCGACCAGGTCCGCGATGCAACCGTGGAGAAGGAGGAGGTGTTGGCCTATCGACATGTCTTTGCCTCCATGCTGAAGAGAACGCTTTGTTGGAAGCAGGCCGAGAGCGTATCCGTGAAGGTTCAATACTCTATTGCGATACGTCAGATTGCCCAGTCCCTGCTCGTTGCTTTCAGATGTTGATGATCCGTAGATGCCCTTGCTTGACGTGTACAGTCAAGATCGCCCAAGTCGGTATATCGGAAGTCGTGTATTCCCAAGGATACAACATGGACCAAGAAGTTTGTCTGAATCACCACACTTTGGTAAACGCAGCTAACAGGAGACAGAGCGCTGCGATCTTGAAAGCTGCTGGAGTATGTCTGAGACAGTTTTCCCCGGTAAGCTACACTGTCTCTTCCGGACTCGAGAAAAAGGGCTTACACAAATATAGCCTCGAAACGGCCTCATCTATCTCCAAAATTCTCAGAACATGGCTTCTGATTTGCCATTGATCATCAGTCTTTCCGGTGGGAACGATGTCTCATAACGCGCTTGTTCATGATATAGCGTTTAGTTCGACCAAGCGATATCTACAGACCGTCTGACTCAACATTTCGAGATTGTTTGCATGAACCATTGCAATAAAGGACTATAAATTTTGAAATAACAAATAAAGGAGCATTGGTTTCCATTGGTCAAGACGGGTTTATTTTCCCATTCACGCCTTAGTGGTTTTCGTTGTCTGCCAGGCCGCAGGGCCCAACCAGCAGGGTAAGATCATTTTTGGATAGAATATACTCTTGTACAATAATCCAGTAGACTGCATTGTCAGCGAGCTTCAGACTATGCGAACACCAAGTAGTAGTACTAGTGAGAAAGTGGATTCTAAGGCGGTCAGCTGTCTAGAATATTGATGTGGGCGGAAAGGAAAAAAAGAGCAAAAAAGTAGGTTAGTTTAGCTAGTTATCATTTTGAACAGTGACTCAGCTAAATGGCCCCGCCGTGGTGGGGATTGATGTTTGACAATAAATGAGGAGGGTGATTATTCTTCTTCCCATGCCGCTTTAATTCATTCTCTCTGTCCTCGAATGTCTGCGGGCTTACCGAAGCCAGACAAAGCCTGTGATTCAGTCTCTACTCGACTTTAGTATTGAAGTACAGCACCTTGTCTAACGGCTTGAGGTACCGGACTGCCGCCATGCCGACTGTTCACCTGCTCGATTATGTCGCAGGAAATGTCCGCTCGTTGGTGAATGCAATCAACAAAGTTGGGTTCGATGTTGAATGGATCAAGTCTCCGGCCGATATTAAAAATGCCGATGTGCGCACTCTTCTCTGCTGCTAGTCTTGTTTCTGCTACTGCACGATTCACAGCTGACATATATCATCGTAGAGACTCATGGTGCCCGGTGTTGGCCATTTCGGCCATTGCCTCTCTCAGCTTTCCGAAGGTGGCTTCCTGGAACCGATCAGACAGCATATAGAGCTGGGAAAGCCCTTCATGGGCATATGTGTTGGTCTGCAGGCGCTTTTCGAGGGCTCTGAAGAAGATCCCGACACCCCCGGATTGGGACTGGTCCCACAACGAATGCAGAAATTCAACGCTGACACGAAGAGCGTGCCTCACATAGGTTGGAACTCTGCTATGAATACGACCTCGGAGCGTCAAACTTTTTATGGGTTGAACCCGGACAGCAAGTATTACTACGTTCATTCCTTCGCAGCTCTCTACAAGGCTGGCGTATTAGAGAACGACGGCTGGTCAGTTGCTACGGCCACGTACGGTGATGAAGAATTCATTGGCGCCATTGCTCGGGAAAATATCTTTGCAACTCAATTTCATCCGGAGAAAAGCGGACAAGCTGGACTACGGACTCTCCGTGCGTTCTTGAATGGTGAAAGATTCCAGCCAATCGAAACGGAGGGTCTGGAGGCAAGAAAGAGGGAAGACGGGTTGACCCGCAGGATCATCGCCTGTCTTGATGTCCGTACGAATGATGCCGGTGATCTGGTCGTCACGAAAGGTGATCAATACGATGTGCGAGAGAAGGTCGGCGTGGACGCAGGAGGTCAGGTAAGAAATCTGGGAAAGCCGGTTGACATGGCAAAGAGGTATTACGAGCAAGGGGCGGACGAGGTCACCTTCCTCAATATCACGTCCTTTCGGAATTGCCCGCTCGTAGATACCCCGATGTTGGAAATCTTGAGAAGAACATCGGAGACCGTCTTTGTTCCTCTGACAATCGGAGGCGGTATCAAGGACACTATCGATCCTGACGGGAGTCACATCTCTGCTCTGGACGTTGCTACAATGTATTTCAAGTCTGGAGCCGATAAAGTCAGCATCGGATCGGATGCGGTAATTGCGGCTGAGGAGTACTATCGTCGCGGCGAAAAGCTCACCGGAAAAACTGCCATCGAGACAATTTCGAAGGCTTATGGAAACCAAGCTGTGGTTGTGAGCGTTGACCCCAAGCGAGTTTATGTCACAAGCCCGGATGACACCGAGCACCATACGATCAAAACGAAGTACCCGAACGCTAGCGGCCAGAGTTATTGCTGGTATCAGTGCACAATCAAGGGTGGCAGAGAGAGCCGTGACATTGACGTCCGACAGCTAGTGAAGGCTGTTGAGGCCATGGGTGCTGGCGAAATTCTACTGAATTGTATCGACAAGGACGGAAGTAACAGTGGATTTGACCTGGAGTTGATCAACGATGTCAAGGCTGCTATCAAAATTCCAGTCATTGCTTCAAGCGGTGCTGGTGTGCCAAAGCATTTTGAAGATGTCTTCCGATATACAACCACCGATGCCGCATTAGGTGCTGGAATGGTATGAGCACCATTCATCGTCCCATTAGTTCTCAGCTAACGAGGCCACAGTTCCACCGTGGTGAGTTTACTGTTGGACAGGTCAAGGAACACCTTCGGAACGAGGGATTTCTAGTCCGCAACTTCGAAAGCGACAAGTGATGGTATACAGTTTGACACAGCCCATTTTGCGCCCTTGTTACCCCAATGTAGACAGTAATATGAAGTTCTAGCTAATAGAGTTCGCGATCAGAGGAGAGCGGCGTGCTTGGGTCAATGCTTGTATGTTTTGAACTGTACATAGAATGACTCACATCAAAATCACACAAATGATGCCTATTACGTCGATATACGTTTTCAGATATGGGATTTTTACAAGAAAATGGGAGATCTCCATTTATTCCACCCTATCTACATGGCAGCGAACGCCTAGGGTGAAAGGATGCGTCACATGATCTAGGAGACACCAATGCTGTGACAATAGGGTTGCTTATAAAACAAGGTCACATGACCAAATGAACGCCATCAACTCATCACACCAAATTTCATTCACCAAAGACTCTTAAATCGTCTCAAGTTCCTCTCCGTCCGTGCTGAAGGACAATACTCTCCTTCTCTTAACATAATTCAGTGCCGCATGATCACTGTTCTCCTCTGCTTGCTATTAATGTGACTTGGACCTTGTTCATATTATTCTGTTACCTCCGTTATTTGAACACTGGCGACTGTCCAGTAGACCCAGGAACGCCACCTTGATTAACAGCCAGTGCTCTTCACTTCGTTCAGCTCCAGTTCCCTCATTTTGCTGTCATCTCAGGGTTGCATGCCAGTAGTCAATCTCCAGACGTGATCAACTATTCATTCGCTGCCGGACATTTTTCTCAGGGCATAGCTCAGACGTCAGATTTCGTGGGCAAGCAGGACATTTATGACCTTCCTATGGTCTTTGGATTGGCACAAGCTTTGCATTTTCTGACCCACTGTTCGTCGCTGCAGATCAGCTGCTTCTCAACTTTCATAACCAACAGGTCCGAGTTATTTGTATACAGTAACTCGCACTGTTACTGTTTGGACCGAAGGGAAATCTTTCGGAAGTACAGTTTTCGAGCATTGCCATTCCACTTCCCGTCTTGGTGATCTCTGGACTTACCTGAAGAGAGGAAAATTGAGTCACCGTCTGTTATTTTGGCGATCTGCCATCCAATTCAGTGTTACTTCCTTTCTCTCCGTGATTTTTCCTGTCACTTGTATGCTTCATTTTGAAGAAAAGTGTCGTCCCTTTTGTTTCTGATCTAATTACATTCACAAACTCACTTGCTGGACGCGCAATTCAATACAATGTCATCCTCTGTTCACTTCAAGTTCAAGTCTCAAAAAGAGCCTTCAAGGGTAACTTTCGACGGGACCGGTATTTCTGTTTTTGAATTGAAACGTGAAATTATCAATCAGAGTAGATTGGGCGATGGGTCGGATTTTGAATTGTCTATTTACAATGAGGATACAGGCGAAGGTAAGCTCTGCGGTTTTGTCCCCATTACTTCTCTTCGGGCTGGTGCTTGGAGGAAAAACCAGAAAACTCCGAAAAAGAAAATTAAAAAAGCGTCATCGCTGACTTATTCTTGCAGAGTATGATGATGATACCACAATCATTCCCCGTTCCACTTCTGTTATCGCTCGGAGGTTGCCTGCCTCTCGGCCTGGCAAAGGCGGCGCTGCTCGTTATGTATCTGGCAAAATGCCCGTTAGCGCTCGCAGCGCGCCTCGTAATGATGCTTCAATGTCGACCCGAGCTATATCACATACTAGCAACACAGTGAGCAACAGCGTTTTAGAGCTCAATAACGCACAGACAGAGGAGGAGAAGATTAATGCTCTCTTCAACCTGCAAGCTAGCCAATGGAAAGAGCAACAACAGGAGATGGCAAAGTATGCATATACCTATTACATGCGGACGTCGTGCTAATGGGCATCAATAGTGCTACACCTGTACCCTTCGGTCGTGGGAGAGGAAAGGCGGTCAATGTTCCTGATCACCCGCCTCCTCCTGGATATCTTTGCTACCGCTGTCGGGAAAAAGGTGAGAGACGACTAGTGTTGAATTTGGGAAACAGGGTTTAACCGATATGTTTGTCTAGGCCATTGGATCCAGGCGTGTCCGACTAACAATGATCCAAAATTCGATGGCAAATACCGAGTGAAGCGATCTACTGGTATACCACGCTCACTCCAAACGAAGGTTGAGAAGCCGGAATCATTGGCACTCGATGGGTCGAATGAGGATCTTCGAAATACAGGTGTCATGGTTAACGCTGATGGTGATTTCGTCATTGCGAAGCCAGACAAAGCAGCTTGGGAGTTGTACCAGGAGAAAGCCAAAGCTTCTTCAGCAGCGGCGGCAGAAGCGGCAGCAGCGGAGTACAGCAAAGAATTGCAGTCCTGGGGTTTGGAGTGCCCTATTGATAAACGTATGTTCCTAGAGCCCACTAAGACACCATGCTGCCACCGAACCTACTGCAATGATTGTATTACCAATGCATTGATTGAGAGTGATTTTGTTTGCCCTGGCTGCGCCACAGAAGGTGTTTTGCTTGACAATCTTTCGGTGGATGAAGAGGCTGTTTCGAGAATCAAAGCCTTTGAGGATGAAAAAGCGGACTCGAGAAAAGATACGCAGAAGAATCTCACAGTGCATGATAGCTCATCCAACAGTAAAGTGTCTGATTCAGAGAGAACAGTCGCTGGGGAGAAGGAGTTATCATCATTGCCGTCAGTCAACGGCGCTCTGGACTCGGCCACGAAGAAAAGACCAGCGGACGAAAATCTCCCGAGCATCGACCATGAAGGGTCGAATTTGAGCCCGTCGAACAAGAAGCAAAAAGCTGATCCGATTGCTCAGGCGACCACCGTGTCGACGAACCTACGAACTCAGGATTCCTCGAATGAGGTCTCATCTATCACAAACGACCAGCCAATGCCTTTTGGGTTTGGCTTTATGAATCCGCAAAGCATGCCTACAATGCCATTCACTGAGGCTGGGTTCATGGGCGGAGGAATGGGGTTTATGAATCCTTTGGGGCTTCCTACAAATGGTTTCCCGAATAATTTGAATCAAGCATGGAATCCAATGAATAATATGGGATTCGATTCCCTTCAGGATGGCATTTATGGTAGTCGACAGAGTGGTGCAATGAATGGCTACGGTCAAGCAAACATGTACTCCAACATGGAAAATGCCTCGATGCAAATGATGGGCATGAGCCAGATGGCGGCGCCGATTTCCCCCAATGCGGGTTTTCAGCAGGGACCAGGCGTTGGCCACTTCTCGAATCAACAACGCACTTCGTTTAGCTCGCCATTCGCGAGGGAAGAAGACTCCCCGTATTTCCGACAACCTGTCAATCCTCAGCGACACCAAGGAAGACACCGAAGAATAAGACCAAGCGATTATCGTGAGTTATAACAGCGTGTGGTAGGATACATGTACATCGCAGCTATGTTCTATCATCACTTCCACATCTCTTGTTCCTGTCGGTTCTTTCTCGGCAACCCCCGAAATGTAGATAGTCCCGAGCCCTCATTTCTTCTCCAATTTCAGGGAATGGAAAAGTCCTTCCTACGGGCTTTCATATAATGTTCTGATAGGGATCGTTCCTTTTGATCCACAGAAGTTTGTTTTAACTCAAACCACCAGCAAAGACCAAGCAACCTGGAAGTGTTGTGATTCGCAGGCACGTTATAGCTAGTACTGGGCCAATGTTTGACACCTGAGCACGAAACTATTACGGAATCCTGCAGGATACGGGATACAAAGACCAACTCTGTAGCTGCTCCGTGGAGAAGTGTAGAATTACCTTCACAGAATCATTAGCAACATTTCTGTTCCCTAGCAAGCTTTGTTTCTCTATAATACGGTCACTTTGATCGCTGGGTTGCTCTAATCATAGGTTTTTTATCAGATTGGTAGAATATTCCAGGGCGATACTCGGAAGTACCTAAGTGATCTGGCTGGTCTCCACCGGGTAAGGTAGTAGGGACAGGTATCTGGCCTAGACACGGGAGTACCAAGGACGGAGTAATAAATTCGCCGCCTAGTGACTAATCCTATTCATGTAACTTATAACAGCCCAAGGTTGGGGGAGCTTCTTTGCCGATGGAGCCTCGTATGACTCTGACTTAACGGAATTCAGCTCCTCATCAAAAACCTCAAACCTACCCCTGTTACACTCAATCAGCAAAGTGACTTTATCCGAAACCCAATTTGCCCCGAATCAAACACCAGTGCCTACTATCATATCATTAATTGCTCTTCCAACTTTACCTGGATAATATATACTTCCAATAAATTCTTATCAAGTTCTCTGCCACCGTCAAGATTTAGTCCACAGAAAAGCTATCGCTATGGCTAAATCCTTCAATAATCAAAGTAGTAACTCCAACCAAGTTCAACGGTCCTTTGGCATTACCTCCCGACCTAGCGTACTCGCAAGCTGCTACAGCGTTGATGCTTTGACTTGCATGGTCAGCGGCTTCCACTACTGCACCACGACGGGGACCGGTAAGATTCGTCCACGCTTAAAATCCAATATTCCGCATCATGATGTACGCTGACATCTGCCATTATTGTATAGGAACACAGTGGTATCCCTGAGGTCACCTCAGGGTCGAAAACCCCTTCTTCAAGTCCTCCCCGCTTGCTACCCGTCCCTTCGCCCGTAGGGAGCAGCTGGCCGGGCAGTCAATTGCCTGAATACAAAGGGGAGGCAACGTATACCATCCCGGAAGAGTGTGAGAGGCTCTTCTGCGACAAATTGCGCGCGATTTTCATTGGTGAGATGAAGTTCGCGCAGCAAGAGTCGCCTGGGATGGATGCGTACCAAAGCCGGCCGAACTGGGCCGGGCGTGGAAAAAGGCCAATTCGAAACTGGGTCGAAGTTTGGGACTACGTTGGCGATGCAATTTATCGAGGTTTTTTGACTGATATGAATGATGAGCGGACATTATTCTTGTTCTTCAGAGACAGTGTGCTTGGCCACAATTTCAAAGCTGGGTAAGTTCTTGTCATCCCTTGAGAGTTGCAGCGGAATCTCTACGACTTCGGGACTTACTTCTATTCTCTCTTTTTCCAGGTTGATCGCCCTGTTCGAGCTAGCCAGTATGCCTATGTTTGAGTGTTCTCAGATTGTTGCGTGCATTCCCCGTTCGCAGGAGGTAGCAGATTCCGAGATTGTGAGAAACCTGGGATGGTGTGGTTTTAATCTGACAACATTGAAACCTTGGATTTCTGAGCAGTGTGTGGAGCACTGCCTGAGCACGAAATGGCTTTTCCTATGTGCGGAGGTCTGACAACGTCAAGTTATTTGACGATCTCTTATTTTTACAGAACTTTTGGCGTCTTTCAGTTTACCATCTTACCTCGGTGTCACCCATTTCCCAAGAGGAACTAATCATTTTTCAAAAGTAATGCCTCTACATAATCTGTGCTCTATGAGGATTAGTACTCACTAGGGACTTTCTGCTTTGATATGAGAATATTGTGACTAGAGTGCTCTATAATTAACATCTATATTCTGCTGAGTCCTTTGGCGAAGCAATCTTTTAGATCTATTAGGGAAAGCGCAGTCCTAAGTCCACAATACTAATAGCAAAACAGGGTTTGTGATACATCCTTGTTATTACTATGTATTTAGGTAGGCACCTTTGTAGTTATAGGTGTTGCATTGAGTTTACCTCATTAATACTCTACGGTCCTGGAATATCTTATCAAATGACACCGATTCAGCAGTAACGCTGTCTTCATTTCTGCATGTTATATCAATGACCAGAATTATGAATGTATGTAAAGGAGTTTCAATCCCCGGCACTTAGGTGGTTTGGAAGCTGGGTCAGTCTATGACCTCAGTGTGACCCGTTGCAAAGTCAAACTCAAGGTCTGGTCTGTATGGAGCATTTAATCAATTATCTACCTGAGCTCGTACCGCGTATAATCTCTCGACAAAATAACACCAAGCTCCTAACCCCATGTTTCCTAAATTCTTATTACCGTCTATAATCTTCCCTCCAAGGCGCCACAATGCCAACCACCTGCCTTCAACAATGAAAGCAGATACTCATGGAAATGGAAACAATAGATATCTTACTGGGCATGTGTCATGTCTCCGCTGTTCAAAATGTGGAGTCGATTTGTGCCTCAAGCCCCAAATCATCAGCAAAGGGTTTACTGGCCGTCATGGCCGAGCGTACCTCGTCTCTGCAAAGCCTACCGCCAGTACTGTTTCTATGAGCGGGGCGACTTCGCAGGCTGAATCCCTGCCCAACACTGTGATGCAGAGACCAGTTCCACGCCAATACGTCACCGGACTTCATACGGTCTGCGACATCAGTTGTGCATTCTGCGGTAATGTGCTTGGCTGGAAATATGTTTCCGCCGAGGAAGAGTCCCAGCGATATAAAGTCGGAAAGTTTATTTTGGAAACAAAACGAATAGCTATGTCGTCATCATGGGAGTCACCGTGCAATACTAATCAGCCTGTATCTCCTGATCACCTGAGCTCTGAGCCCTCGGAAAACATAAACCGTGATGAGCACATTGAGTTTGACAGCCAGGATGAGGATGAGTGTGAAGACATATTTGCTGGGATATGGAGTCCGAGTTTGGCTATGCGCCGAAGGAATCGGAAGTTGAATCACCATCTCCCGTTGTTTCGGTTCCCGTCTTGAAGAGCATATTGAGACCCATAAGTCATTTCGGGATTTGGCATGATGTTCACAACCATACTTTTATTTAATCCCTCTCATTTCTCGCCAGCTTCTTTCCAGCGGTATGCTGGAATCATAATGACGATAGCGACGGTTGTATTAGCTGTCTAGAAGCGTTGGACCAAGCGCATATGTCAGATTAACCGCTTATCAAGCCGCTGCATGACATGAAGGTTGGGTATCAGGCGGAAGTCAAAGTAAAAGAGAAAAAGAAAGGAAAGGAAAGGAAAGGAAAGGAAAGAATAGCCTCATAGTGAGATGAGAATCAACAAACTGGCAATCGAGCAACGAGTTATAACCTATCGTCCAGCCAGAGCGTAGCAGGGTATGGCGACACCGAGGGAAGGCTGGTGAAAATGAAGATGGGCGACAATTTATCACACATTCTCGGCGCTTTCCGTCCGTGCCTTCTTCGTGTTGAACTCGTCCTCAACCTGTTCTGGAGCTGAGCGTTTCTCCGTAGATTCTCTTTGCGGCGGATGTTGAATGCCAGCTGGCTTTCTTTTGACTAAAGCAGACAGATCCTTGGCATCTTTTGTAATGGCTTCCAGACGCGCTTGCTGCTCAACAGCTGGCTGACCTACAATCTGGCCTAGAATTCCTCTAAGCATCGTATCGCTTTCCTCGCTCTGTTGCTCAACCGACACAGGCGGACGACGAAGATCTAGTAGCTGTGATGCGTCAGTAACAAGCAACAAAGAAATAGAACGTTCCTTGGGGACTAACTCTCTGCTCCATGTCTTCAATGATCTCCTTGACATTCGCTATTTTCCTTCTCAGAGCTGTCTCTCTGTCTTCGTCCAAGGCGTCTGATACATCCAATTTTTTCTGTTCTTGGGCCATTCTGACTCGACAGCTCTCAATAGCCTTCTCCATCTGAGTCGCAGCCTCTTCTCTCATAGCTTCGTCAACCTTGCCACGGCGGTCACCGCCCCCTCCAGTAGTGCCTTCGCTGGGATTATTGACAGATGCGAATTCTAGTGCGAGCGAAAGTTTGTAGTGACACTCAGCAAGGGAAGGATCTTCCATAGAAAACAGTGATTGCCTCAGATCAAGTGCAGTCCTGAGGTCCGCCACCGCATCCGTGAATCTCTCCCCTTCAAGGGAAATCTCTGCCTGTAGATCGTAGGTATCTGCGAGACGCTCCTTGATGTGTTTGACATCGGACAGCAGGCCGGCGGATTTCCCCTTCTCAAATGATTCCTCTACTGCGGCCAACTTCCTGTGATAGAGTATACGGGCCAAGTCCAGGACTTCAAAGGCGTTGGCAAAATCGTCATCGTCATCGTCAACACCATCAGCGCCTCCATCGCCCTCTTCTGCCTCAGATTCCGAATCATCGAAATTTTCATCGCCACTGAATTGGAAAAAGGGCTGGTTGAAAGTCTTTCCAGGGCTGGATTTAGAATCTTTGGAATGTTCTTGCTTAGCCACCCCACTACCGATCGCATTTTTGATAACGCTCTCGCCAGGCACATGCGCGGATGATTTGGAGCCGCTTGCAGGTAGATCATTTGTTTGAGCTTGAGGCTCTCCAGCTACTTTTGACCCTAGGACATCGCTCTTGCTCACCGCCACGTTGTATAAAGCTTTGCCGTAGGCGAACAGCAGATCAGCGTTGTCGAGTGACAGTTCACCGTTCAGCTCGGCTTGGAGTTCCGTAGCTTGGGAGTAAAGCTCAGCAGCCGCATTGAAGTCCTTTATTGCATCTTTCGCCGCAGCTCGCGCGATCAGATCTTCTAACTGTACACGCTTGGCATCTGCGGTGCTTTTCAGCTTTGGGTCTGTTTTTGCTGAATTAAGTTCTGCCATGACGGTCAGGGCAAGGATACCGTGGGGATGTAGTAGGCTGGGAATATCAGCAGGCACTTTCTCAGCGATGAGGAATGAAGCACATCCAAATGAGAATGGAAAAATGGAGTTGCAAAGCTGAGATCTGCTTCCCGAAACGTTGGAAGGACGAAGTATATCGGCATAGAAAATTAGTAAGTTCTTAGCCCAAACCTTCCTAAGAACTTGTCGCGGACTCACGGCGCGTATGCATATGTGGAGCACCCGCAACCACGCGTCTCTCTAAAGGTCCGTTACCTTCACGGAGTACCTACATACATAGTGTTTCGAGTTTCCAAAAACATCGACAACATCATCATCATTATCGGCATCTGAATCACCCATAATCGTTCTAGCCCAGCATTCTGTTTACCTTTTCAGATTACCCGTTTTCTGTCATGACAAAAGCAGTGAAACTCACAGAGGATGAGTTATAGCCTGCTCATCCTCATTACTTTCATATGGTCCTCAGTCCCGAGACATCTCTGAAGAGACTAAGCAATTACTACCACATCGGAAGTAAAAATGGACCACGCGCCGCTTGCTGGAGACAGGTGTCTGGACTCTGATCCCATCTTCTCTTCGTCTCCAGGGTTCGGCACTCCGGTCCGTCCTCTACGAAAATCGAATCTTAATGCTCCCGTCGCGAGGAGTTCAGTCTTGCCAATTCTACTTCCACCCTCCACGCTTCGACCTGTAGCTTTCCGTACTTTCACCAGGAAGCACAACTTGACCATCTCGTCCTCAGCGCTGCAGACTTTGGCTTCCTTTGTAGGAAAACATTGCGGCTCTGGATGGCGCGAAGAAGGCCTTGCGGAGCGCGTCCTGGATGAGGTAGCTAAAAGCTGGAAAAAGGCCGGGGGCGGCGTCATCGTTGAGGAAGGCAGAGGGGCCTCACTGATGGCTATTTTGATGGCCTTAGAGGGCAACATGAGTGGAGGAAGGGTAGTTCCTGCGAAATCATGTGCAACAAGAGAAGGACCGATAGATGTGAATGCCCTCAATTGGCATGCCAGGCGACCGAACACACGCTTGTCTCCAGACCCAGCAATCAACGATGAGGAACTTGACGACTTGGACTTACCATTACACCCAAGAAATTGGATCAAGATTGTTGAGGCATTCGGCATGCCCCGCTTGACTTACAACGTCGACAAGAAGTACCTCGAATTAACAAAGTCAAAGGCTACATTGTTCCCGCAGGCTTCACACAAAACTAGCGTATTCAGAGACCGTTATAACATTGTTCATCAGCGCCTACTACGGAATGAGACATTTCAATCATCGTTGAGTTATTCCACAGGCCGCTCCTTGAAGAGGTCGTCATCCTCATTCGCTCCCACTCAATGTTATAGGTTGACGCCGATTGCAAACTTGCTTGGAAGAAGTGGCACGTCACACCTGCTTCTAGGATTACTCTCTATATCACCCGCAGGTGATCTCTCCTTGGTCGATTTGACAGGTAGCGTTGCGCTAGATCTGAGTCATGCCCGGACGATACCAGACGATGGTGCTTGGTTTGCTCCCGGAATGATAGTCCTCGTTGATGGAGTCTATGAAGAAGAGGGAAGCGTGAGAGGGTCAGTCTTAGGTGGAAACAGCGGAGTCGGTGGTACCATTGGGGGTCGATTTGTGGGTGTATCAATTTGCGGACCTCCATGCGAACGACGGGAAGTATCACTGGGAACGAATCACCAGCACAGCAACGGAGAGATTAGCTCTAGCGGAGGATTTGGATGGGTCGACTTTCTAGGGATCGGGAGTGAACGCGCACAAGGCTCACGAATGAGGAGAATCCAAGCCAAATGTTTGCGAGGTGTGCCCGATGACGCGGATTCGCCCGTACGACTGAAAGTGGCTATCATGAGCGAGGTTAATCTTGACAACTTGAAGTCGCTTGACGCGCTGAGGAAGGTTTTCAGTACATATACTAAGCTTTCGCCCACCGAACGCCCAATAGTCTTTGTCGTGATAGGGAACTTCGTCCAGAAGGCCACAATCAATGGAGGCGGCCATGCTGGCAGCATCGAGTACAAGGAGTACTTTGATTCACTCTCCATTGTACTAGCCGACTATCCTGAACTTTTACGACACTCTACTTTCGTCTTTGTTCCTGGGGATAATGATCCATGGTCGTCTGCTTTCACAGCGGGCGCTGCCTCGTCAGTACCACGTCAGCCAGTTCCGGATATGTTTACCTCGAGGGTAAAGCGTGCGTTTGCATCGGCAAATTTGGAATTGGGGCGATCGCAAGCTTCCGAGCCTGCCGGCGAAGCTATCTGGACCTCCAACCCGTCACGTCTCACCGTCTTTGGGCCCTTGCATGATATCGCCATCTTTCGAGATGACATAACAGGAAGGCTGAGGCGGAACGCAGTGGCTACTAAGCAAGGCGAGAATGAGTGTAATTCTGCAGTTCCACACGATCCGGAAACGGATGCTGGTCTTGCCACGGCTGGTAATGAAACTCATGCTCAGGCCCATCCGGCAGATGCAAAGGCTCAGCAATCTTTTTCCAGTGTGCACACGGCACGAAAACTAGTGAAAACAATACTAGACCAGGGAACGATGTCCCCATTTCCGCTATCGGTGCGACCTGTCTTGTGGGATCATGCAGCATCGTTGCAACTGTACCCATTGCCGACAGCGTTTATTTTGGCGGATCCTGAAGTAGCACCATTCTGTATGACCTACGAAGGGTGTCATGTCATGAATCCAGGAAGATTTATCTCTGAAGAAGGATCGACATGTATGAGATGGGTTGAGTATGATATACTGAAAAATCGAGGACGTGTGAAAGAGGAGCGGCTATAGCAAATCATAACTGCAATTCTTTTCGTTTTAGGAATATTATTTCATGTGCTGAAGCCAACTGAATTGAGTGAAGCATAGGAGCTGATCGGATGTAACTAAGTCGGCGCTAGCTTGTGGTTTGAGCTCTCGGCGCCAATATACGCGTGATCCTTTGAAAGGAGTATTAACTGCCCGAAGTAAAATATCATCATTCACGTGCAATCATCATATGGCAGCCAAAACTGCATGGTGTGAACTGGATGTACACATAAACTAATGTAGTAGCAAGAATACATCCGAAGGAGACATTGCTTGGAGCAACCATGTTACATGCGCGAAGTCGGTGTCCCCCGGGGTATAAGAGAGATGAAAAAGTCGCGATGACTTTATAGAGAGGTTTCAGTCAATTGTAATAACATCTGCAGCGTTGGAAGCCACAGGGTTTCGCTGAAGACTTCTGTCATTAACGAAGTTCGCCGTCGTCGTAGTATCCTTAGCCATGCCAGCCTGCGATGGTGCCCCGGTTTGACTCTGTTTCTCCGGTACTGGCTGAGTTGAGTAATCGTGATCAGATTTAGTTTCTCGCGGTAACCAAGTATTATGCTGAGCGCCGGTGAAACATCCATCGAGGGCCCAAATAAGGTTGCCGACTCCCTCAGCGCTTGCAACCACTCCATTTCCAAGACCTTTCCAACCGTTTCCCTTGGAATGATACAATGTGCCTCGCAGCCTGGCTTTGAGTTGGTCATGGCCTGGGCCGGGCCCTGGGCTGCTCAATTCCCTTAGTACCCAAGTCAATTGCCCCGAATGCTGGCTCGTTGTGAGTTGGAAACGGAAGCCCTGATAAGTATAATGGAGGAGGAATGTGTAAGCATTGCGCACAATCACCTGTAACCTGAACGACTCCTGGCGAGACGCGTTAGATGTTATTTGCTCCAAGGCTCGCATCAAGGGAAGTGTAAAAGAGAGAATCTCGGTTACGAAATCCAAACCAGAGTCATTAGAAGCATGGTTTAAAAGGGCAGCGAGAGACCCCTGGACCCGGCGATGAGGGTTCGGATGCTTAAATCGAATACCCAGAGTGAGAAAAAGTAAGGGGTCAGTCCCTGCTAGAATGCGAACAGGGTCAAGCTCCGCAGAAGAGGGGACCTCGGACAACTCGATCCCGACAATGGCTGAGAGATCCCTTCTTGGGCCGTAAGCAAAGGCTATATGAGTAAGCGATAACGACTGAGGTGTCAATTTCCTTTGCCGAAGAAAATCGAGAATTGACAACGTGCACTCCAGAGTCTGCAGGCTTTTAAACAGCTGTACGATCACAGGTCGACCAGCTGGAGCGAGAAGCCGAAGGGCAAAGCCACTGCCTCCTCGCTTGAAAACTAGGGAGCTGTCCGACTTTGAAACTAATGTGCATAAATCTGTCCAAGGTCCCACCAAGTTGCCATACGCCACAAATATGGCCATATTCTTGTGACGGTCAATCCCATGGAAGGCAAGGCGAACTGTATCCTTGAGAAGGTTCTTTCTCTTCAGACCCGCGGGCAACACTAGCTGAAGCGCCCGAGGAAGGTTCGATACTTGGTAGCGAATGAAAATATCCGGGATTTGAAGATCGGACTCAACCTTCAATGCGCACAATGGTGGATGAAACTCAACTGATTGCAAATCGGATAGATAGCTGACGTTGGCATGAATTGCTACCATTCCAGAAAGACAGTAGCCCAAATCGGGGAATGAGGAAGGGCGAGCTTGGTGGCTCGTGGCAAGAAAGGTATCGCTCATGCTATGCCCTGAACAAAGTGGAACACTTGTATCGGAGACCGAAAAATCTGTTGCAACTTCTGAGGATCGGCGAAGTTGCACAACCCACCAGTTGTCACCTGTGATGCTGCTTGTTGCAGCCACGACCCAATTTCGCTCCCAGGAAGGATGCCAGAAGAGGGAAAAACGCAAGACATTAGCTGGAAAAACTTTCCGGATATCGTTTCTGAGTCCCTTTGGGCTGACTGTTTCAAAACCCAAAATCCTGACATTAGACTCAAGTTCCTCTATGGCCGCGATGCAACGAAGCCGAGAAACACGGGCCACCAAATCATCGATGGTGGACCTGTCCAGACTGGCATCACTTTCGGAACGTTCTGAGAGACCAGGGGTGGCGGACAAGATGACGGCTCCTGACATCGGCTCAATGGATACCCGAAGATGTCTGGAGCCCGTGAGCTGGACAGAGAGTTGACATTCGCCAGGCTCAGTGCCATTCAAAATAGCTTGTGAAGACAAAGTGCCGGCGGAGAATAGCGAATATTCACTTAGGATGCCGTAAGCTGAGGAGAGCAAATAAGATATATGTAGAGCAATGACACTCCGCAGGAGACACTCCATTGACAAATCCTCTGGATCGAACTCGATGTCTCTACTGTCGACCTCCTGGCCGTCCCTCATCCAACGCAAGCCTAGGCATGGTATCCCAAAGCCTAGGCAGTCAGCCTCCCCATTACCGCTCTTGACCCCAACCTCGACCCAACTCTTAGGTCCTGGTTTTAGGGCCCAATATTGTATAACCAAGGTTCGATGCAAAAGCTCAACACGTAATGTTTCTGACCAAAGGCCTTTAGCCAACTCGATGGCCTGCTTGAATAATATATGAATTTTATTGGTCAATACCAAGCCATGCAGGAAATTGAAGCAGCCTGTCAAGCCGCTTTCACGCAGTTTATCATTGACTTTAGCATCAATCTCATTGGACATCCGACCTTTCGGAATGTCGGAGGATGGGAAGTAAAGAAAGCGGATGTCAACGAAGAAGAATTGGGAGAGCTCGCTTTCTGCTCCGACGGATAAGTCGAGCTCAAATTCGCCGCGCACGACAAAAGTAACTCGGCCGTCGTGAACTCGGTAGGTCCGGAATGGGTGAGGGATTGAATCATGTAATGCAAGTCTGGCACTGATGATTCTGTTTATTTTATGCAACCGTCTCAGAGCTCCTCTCGCTGTTAGAAGTTTGGAGGACTTGTAGCCGAGCTAGACAACTTTGAGTCAGTAATTGTTGAGCTTCGTGCGTGCAAACATGGCTTACATCCGCTAAGGATTCCAGACTGCCCTTGGACAAGATCTCCAGGGCAGTTTGGAGATCCGGATTGGCCACCTGAGCCTGCACCAGGTCCCGTTTCATATCTCCCACACGCTGCAACGCATCCACAAAAGCTTGATGGCGAGCGCGAATGAAATTTTGCAGGTCAATTAATTTACTGACATCGCGCGCTCGCCGACTCCATTGTGAAAGAACGAGAAGTTTAATGAACTCGGCCCGTTTAGCATGAGCAAAATCTAGTATTCTGAGCTTTTTCTGGACGTTTTCGGGAGACTGATTCCCAGGAGATTTTCCATTGACAGGCAACAAAGGCGTTGAGCTATGTGGTGACACTTGTATTGCCGCCAGCTCTGTAATAAGGTCAGATAGCTCATTCCAGCATTGCTGCACAGATCGGTTGACTAGCGTTGAAAACGGAAAGAATCCCTGAGTAATATGTGGTAGCTCAGGCAGAGCTCTGTGTCCGTCAATTCCAGGTTTGCCAGTATAACTTTCCCTATCAGGGTCGTGATCTTTGGCTCCTTTGGCTGCTCCATTGATATGTAACGACCCATTTCGCAAGTTATCTCCATTACTCGGCGTCTGAGTATCTGGCACATGCCCGGGCCGGCCAACAGTAGCATTATCCATGATGACGCCCGGCATGTCTCCAGATACGGCACCTCCGGCCTCTGGGATCAGCTCTCCCCCCCCTTCACCCTCTGCACAGCACAAAGGTGAGCGACCTGACTCGGGTGCTAGCCCAGATACGCCGGCGTTAGGGCCAGGAAGGGAAGCTGACAGTACTCAACCCGCTGGAACAACCGCTTCAGCTTGCTGTCATCCGTGATCAACTGGTATGCGCAAAGCTAGTTCGACGAGAGCACTGCAAGGGCACCGAAGGTAGGGTAACTTCCAGTGAAGTAAAGAATGACGCGAGAGCAAGTTTGAACAAGGACCTTATGAGGTAGTTTTATCGGCCTTATAGAATTGATTCAGGTGCGCGATCGAGAGTTTGTGAAGGTATTAGCCACGAAAACTGGCGTTGGTCGGCCCTGCTCAAGAGACACATAAAGTAAAAGAATTCAGCAGGATGACAGATAACCCATACACTAAGTCTTTTCCGTCTGACTGCGATTCACTGTTCAGACATAGGATTCGGAGGTTCTTGCGAACGGAAGGGTGGAATCCATCAGAGGCTTCAGCCCTTTGCTGAAGCAAACAAGGAGATTGCGTCTATGCCCTGTGGAAGATTAAGAGGGGGACCACGCCACAGATGATGCTTGCAGATATACTGCGCATATACAGGCAATGGAAAGGAATATTGAGAAGCTGATGCGCTGATGTATTATTGTCTAAAAGGTGCAGTACTCGTGCGCTCGGAAAAAGAGATGATGGATTGCAGATTCATGAAGTGCCTTGGTGCCTGAAGGAAGTAAGGTATTCCTGACGGATTACTACTACGTACTTACCTTAGTAAGATCCGGATGTTTTTAATTATCGGTAATATAACCTGATTTTTACCTTAGCGTCTGTTACTTACATGAGGTACCTGCGTACCGTTCTCTCTCCGCATTTCCACTAACCTACGGAGTATTTAGGTCAAGATTACCTAACATAGCTAAAGTATGGATAAGGTAAGCTGCCACTGAGGTAAGGAGCTCAAGTCGATGGGTCCCCAGCTGATGACGATGGCCAGTCATTCCTTAACGTGTGCGAGATACCCGGGGGACAAAATAATCTTCACTTGTTATTCCACAAAGTGATTACTTTTGCCTCAGCACTATGTTCGTCCACTAAGTTAGGGAACCTAACTTATGTCGTTACTGCAATACCCTAAATAATTCTTTGGTAAAAGGCTCCTTACTCGACTTTATCCAGTGGAGCTGACGCAATGTCTGATGTTACCCAGCCTGCGTGATTTCCTAGTATGGTCAAGCAATGCTTTGGAGAGCCCATTCAATCGCCTGCTGACATTTCTTCCATGAGTCTAGGTTGGCGGTCTATCGGAAAACGGTGCTTTCTACTCTGGTGGGTTGGCTATTCCTTTTCTTACCTGCCTAACGCTTAAACATCATGATATAGAGGTACAACTTACGGCTTAAGTTGCTGAGAGAGCAATTGCTTCGAACAACCAGACCTTTTATATCATGCTAGCGCGTGTCTCAAGTTGCTGTCAATATGCGGGCTGGCGATGAAACCGAAACGAGCATCACGCGGCCGCAATACCCTGGGGATGATATTCGGCCCACCAGCAAAAAGGAACTCGCCGGATGGTATAGCTATGGCTGGGCAGCGGAGGTTTTTACGGTCTGCGCTATGGGTATGCACATGTCTGGCATCAGACCTTCGCTCGCATTCATTCGCTCCTAAAGTTGACATTTACCATAGGCTCCTTCCTCCCCATTACCTTGGAGCAAATGGCTCGCGACCGCGGTGTTCTTTTGTCCGATAAGGTGACCCCCTGCAGTGCTACCTTGAATGGTCCATCGAAGACGTCCACACAAGCCCAGTGGACGCTTTCTTCAAGATATGAAGCCGGAGGACCAACAGTGGTAAACCAGTGTGTGGTCTATATATTCGGTGTCGAGATAAATACTGCAAGTTTCGCAATGTATACCTTCTCGGTGAGTGTCTTTATTCAAGCCATCCTGATCATATCGATGTCAGGAGCCGCAGACCATGGAAGTCATCGAAAGCTGCTTCTAGTGGCTTTCGCTGTGATTGGCTCGGTCTCCACAATGCTCTTTCTGGGCGTGGTGCCTAAGATCTATATGGTGGGGGCAGTGATTGCGATAATCGCAAACACCTGCTTTGGAGCCTCCTTTGTGCTTTTGAATTCATTCCTACCCTTGTTGGTACGCCATCATCCTTCTGTGCTTCGGGGTGTTCGCGAACCGCCCCCTGCTTTGGATGGTTCTCGCGCCCAAGAAGGTCATTCTGATACCAGAAACGATATTGATCAGGGCATTGAGTCTAATGCCACCTCGCCCCTGCTTCATGCCCATCAAGGAAATAGCGAAAACGCTGCAGCGGGCATGCATCCCGCAACTCCCATTACAGTTTCGCAAGAGCTGAAGCTATCAACTCGGATATCTTCTTTTGGAATTGGAATCGGCTACATCGGTGCCATTATCCTACAAACCGTCTCCATCCTCGTCGTCATCGCTACCAACCAAACTACCTTCTCCCTGCGTCTCGTACTGTTTCTAATCGGGATTTGGTGGTTTATTTTTACAATACCTGCCGCGCTCTGGCTGCGATCTCGCCCAGGCCCACCATTGACTACCACTCATCAGGGGAAGCACACCCGCTCTTGGATCGGTTACATGGCATATGCCTGGAAGTCGCTTTATCGGACAGCAGTGCGGACACGTCATCTCAAAGATATCTTACTGTTTCTCGCCGCTTGGTTTCTTCTCAGTGATGGAATTGCCACCGTCAGCGGGACTGCGGTACTCTTTGCAAAGACACAACTCAATATGCAACCCGCAGCTTTGGGACTAATCAATGTGATTGCAATGGTGGCCGGTGTCTTGGGGGCGTTCTCTTGGAGTAGTGTTTCGCGGGTACTCAATCTCAGCGCGTCACAAACAATCATTGCATGCATTCTCTTATTCGAGCTAGTGCCTCTCTATGGTCTTTTGGGGTTTATTCCAGCAATCAAGAGCCTCGGGTTTTTGGGCCTCCAGCAGCCGTGGGAGATGTTCCCACTGGGAATTGTGTATGGGCTTGTCATGGGCGGCCTGTCCTCTTACTGCCGCAGTTTCTTCGGAGAGTTGATTCCTCCTGGCAACGAAGCAGCATTCTATGCGCTTTATGCCATTACTGACAAAGGGTCGAGCATTTTTGGCCCTGCAATTGTCGGCATCATCACCGATCGCTACGGTGAAATTCGGCCGGCATTTGTGTTCCTTGCAATTTTGATATTTCTCCCATTGCCACTGATGCTACTTGTGGATGTTGAACGAGGGAAGAGAGATGCGCTTGCTCTTGCTGCAGAGTTGCAGCCATCAGGCGCTCAAACCTACGGAACGCTTCCGGGAAACGAGGACCGCGCCCCGCCAAGTGAGCTATAGATACTGTACTATCGATCTTCTAAGCGATCATTAGAGTTGCCCAGCAGAGCCAGGCTTGGATGGAAGCCAATTCGGTCAACACTTATTGGAACATGGCTAGCCTCGTTGGCTAGGAACTTGCTTCTCTCTCCCTCTCTACAATCATTGTCTCTGTCTCTTTTCTCTCGGACAGGACCGAGTACGCACTAACTTGGAGTGCAAATGGCACAGTGAACTACATAGCTCTACAAGCAAGCAACAAGCAAGCGACTCGAAGCTTTATACTACTGGAGAAGGGAATGTTTCCGCGTTTCAGTGCTTTTGGACGTGCCATTAATGCTACCATACTCTGCCACAGAAGTGTAAATTTCCCATAATGACTCCAAGCCATGTAGAGAGTATTATGGACCATACAATTTGTTAAAGAAGTCCGGCCGGGGCTAACCAAAATTCATTGTATCCGTGCCTTAGGCTCGCCCTCACCGATTAACTTGCAATATTCGAAAATGACTGGTTTACTGAGGACCTCCAGGCAAAGTCACTTACTCATTCAGCTCATCCAAATTCTATTTGCTGCTTCTAGTGGACAATCAAACACTTATCTATTCATAATCCTAATCCATCAGGAGGCAGTGAGGTCCGGGAGTCCTCAGCCTCCATTTTATGATTTGTCAGGGATCGACTTTCCGGCTTAAAAACGCGCATCGAGAATGAGGAAGTATCTCAATAGTGTGGATGATCAACTGGATCGACATCGTCTCATCAATTTTGTATAGAAGACGCACGAAACATCATTTCCCTGCCTCGTAACAGCCTTAGTAGCATCTTCTACTCTATGGCAGCCGGGCACTGCTCTGAATAATATAAAATTATGTGGCAAATTCAGTATGGAATCTGTAGGTATCACACTTCTTACACGAGTTTCCAACTGTCCATAAGCTTGTGGTATGTCAAATAAGTTTATTACTTGCTTTTAGTCTAAGTCACCACCTTGAGAGTCAAGGACCCGTCCCCCGATTTCCGAAGTTATGACTATTTTTTGATAATATTGTGTTGATAATTCAGGTAGCTGTTGCAATCCTGTTGGGGTGTGGAGGGCGTAAATATGTCTACGCAGTAGAGTAGCACTCCCTCAACCGTCTCACAGTGTCAAGATGGCAGAGTCCCTAGTGTAAGTACCTCGGCACCTGCTAAGGTACCTTAAGTATTTTTATACTATGTACCTTACTACTCTGAACTCCTATCCAGTTATAGGAGTCAGAAACTAATATTTTAAGAGCAGATGAATAGATGTATGATACTGAGTACAACCTTCGGCTTCCATGAATGGTATCATTCATGGCAAGGTAGGTACATAAAGTAAGGAACCTCTAGGTACTCCGTACCTTAACAAAGAGGAGGGGACAATACCACCTGGTAATGACACCGTACTAGACTCCATGTATGGCACCCTTATCATTCCTAATGGAAGGTACCTTACATTATGGTGCCTTACCTACCTTACTTATAGATGTAATAAATTACACGACAAGTTACCTTACTTAGGTACCTAGGTACTTTCGTCATTTTGTCAGGTGTGCCTGTCTCTAGGTAGGCGATATAGATCCTCCAAATACCAAAGAAATGCAGGGGAATGCAAAGAGTACCTAGAGCATAGGTAGCTAGGTACATACTAGGCTGCTATCTACCTTACCTGTCCTGCGAAGTACGTACAGTATCTATATACCTTAAGGTAGCGATATGAACGTTATAGAGAACAGAGGGACGGAGTATGGTGTATCTATTGAAGACTCTTACTGGCGTCTAACCTACCTAAGGTAGGACTTGGGGTACGGGACATTCTCCGTCGAAAACTTACCTAGCTACTTTGGGATTTATGGCCCTACTTAGGTACCTTAGGTATTATCTATGGATTCGAGGTGGGTAAGGTATTATGGGTACGTATTATTGTTACCTGGCTGGATATGATTTATCAACTATCTTATTTACGGGGTATTTACCCATGGTTTTACGGATCCCTTGCAGCATTCACAGTTTAAGCGGCTGAGCGGAGCCAGTCACAGAGCTCGAACAGCCAGCTGACTGCAGAAAGAACAAACTGTCCTCAACGCTTCCCCATAGCTGTACTTAATGGGGCCGCTCACCTCTTGGATCGTCTGTTCTCCCTCCGCTGTGCTCTTCTCATCGCTCTCATCTCTGCCTTTAAGCTGTAGGGTAGCAACCCGGACAGAGATTCATTCTTGTCTAAATCTCAACTCCCCAGTCGAGCAGGACGATTGAGTCTGCAGCTACTTACAAGACGACCTACATCTTTGGTCTTGATTTACCCCATTAACCGTCGTTTCGTTTTGTTTCCGAGACTTTTTCTATATAATGCGGTCTTTTGCTCCCTTTCTTTTAAGCCTTCTCGGGGCTAGCGCGGTAGCCTCTGCTGCTGACGCGACAGCTGATACCACTTCCGATGTCGTCTCTCTGACCAAGGACTCGTTCAAGGATTTTATGAAAGAGCATGACTTGGTGCTGGCCGAGTTCTATGCGCCCTGGTGCGGCCACTGCAAGGCTCTAGCTCCCAAATACGAAGAGGCTGCTACTGAGCTCAAGGGGAAAAATATACCCTTGGTCAAGATCGATTGCACTGAGCAAGAGGACCTGTGCAAAGAAAACGGCGTCGAGGGCTATCCTACTCTCAAGATCTTCCGCGGCCCTGAGTCCAGTAAGCCCTACCAGGGAGCTCGCCAGGCTGACTCGTAAGTTTTACTACTCCCAGCGCGCGCCTTTATCAATCCTCGTCCCGGATCATCTGTGCTCTGCTTTCCCCTTCGATACGGCCTTCCCTTCCAGCTCCTAGTCGCTCTATGCATTATTAACTAACCTTACTCAAAAAGGATTGTCTCCTACATGATCAAGCAGTCCCTCCCCGCCGTCTCAACTGTCACTGAAGAGAACCTCGAGGAGATCAAGACCATGGACAAGATAGTGGTCATCGGTTACTTTGCCTCCGATGACAAGGCTGCCAATGATGTGTTCACCTCTTTCGCTGAATCTCAGAGAGACAACTACCTCTTTGCCGCGACCAGCGACTCGGCTATTGCCAAAGCAGAGGGTGTCAAGCAACCCTCGATCGTGCTCTACAAGGACTTTGACGAGAAGAAGGCTATCTACGATGGAACGATCGAGCAGGAAGCGATCCTCAGCTGGGTGAAAACTGCCAGCACTCCTCTTGTGGGTGAGATTGGCCCCGAGACCTACTCTAGCTATATTACGGTATGTTCTTGTCCCTAATGATCAGAAACGATAATCTTCTTTACCGTACCAGCTAACCTGGACCGTGTTCTAGGCCGGTATCCCTCTCGCGTACATCTTCGCTGAGACCAAGGAGGAGCGTGATCAATATGCCGAGGAATTCAAGCCCATTGCTGAGAAGCACAAGGGATCCATCAACATCGCCACAATTGATGCCAAGATGTTCGGTGCCCACGCTGGAAACCTCAACCTTGACCCTCAGACATTCCCCGCGTTCGCTATCCAGGATCCGGAGAAGAACGCCAAGTACCCTTACGACCAGTCCAAGGAAATCAATGCCAAAGACGTCGGCAAGTTCATCCAAGATGTTCTTGATGGCAAGGTTGAGCCCAGCATCAAGTCTGAGCCTATTCCTGAAACCCAAGAAGGACCCGTCACAGTCGTGGTGGCTCACTCCTACCAGGATCTTGTCATCAATAACGACAAGGATGTTCTTCTCGAATTCTACGCCCCGTGGTGTGGACACTGTAAAGCGTGAGTGTTGCCCGTCTTTCTACCAAAAGGCTGGAATAACAGTTGAGCTAACGAGTCTTTCATAGTCTGGCCCCCAAGTATGAGGAGCTAGCGGCTCTCTATGCTGGTGATTTCAAAGATAAGGTCACCATTGCCAAGATCGATGCTACTGCCAACGACGTTCCTGATTCCATCACCGGATTCCCTACCATCAAACTCTATCCCGCCGGTGCTAAGGATTCTCCCGTTGAGTATTCTGGCTCCCGTACCGTTGAGGATCTGGCGAACTTCATCAAGGAGAACGGCAAGTACAAAGTCGACGCTCTTGAGGCTGCCTCGGAGAAGGTTGAAGAAGGGGCTGATGTTACCGCTTCCCCTTCGGCTACATCCACCGAGGCTGAAGCTCCTGTTGCTACTGGCGACGAGAAGGACGACCATGATGAATTGTAAACTACTATTTTAGCCGAAGGACTTCGTTTTAGTATCCGAATTTCAAACTTCATGATTGTAACCTACCCCCAGCAGATTTTACTTTCCCCTTAGCTTATCGAGCGGGCCATCCCAATTCCCAGGGAACCTCACTACCCAGCACACAAGATTGCCCACTTGATATCAATTCTATTTGACCTTAATGTGGCTTAGCAAAATGAATATGGTAAGAGGCGCAACAAAGCCTTAAGTCTTGCTGTTAGCAACATGTTCGCTACGCTCGCCGGCTCAATCAACCAAGGTAACTACAGTCGTAGATCGCCAAGTTAAAAAAACTTCATTTGACACTCATCAACAGGATAAGGGGGGGGTGGGGAGGGGGATGGCAGCACTTGCTCAGTCAGCCTGAATACCCTGTCGAGTGAAAGGAAGAGTTGGGGAAGGGATTCAAAACAGAAAGCTCAGGATAGTTGAATTTTCTATGGTACAGACACGCTGATACAGCTGCAACACGCCGGAATCACAGAGACGGCCCCTTCGTGATTAATAGTAGTGGAAATACACCAATTGAATCAAATATTCAACAGCTCATGTTGCAGCTTCAGCTGCAGCTAGAACCTCAAGTGCATCGACATCATCGTCGAATTCATCAAGGGATCCGTCAGGGCCCATAAGTTTCACGCTAGCAACTTTGCTCTCTTCGGAAGGATTCGAATCAGGCGGTTTCGCGGTGGATGTCTTCACCTGAGCATTCACAGGAGCTTGGCCCGAGATAGTGGCAAGCGAGCCACCTGTCTTTTTTGGAATCAGACTCCAGTCAATGATGCCATCCGGAC